TCCACTTGAATAGATCATAATTTCAGTCATACCTTAAGAGATGAAATTAAGCGAGGAGATCTCCCACACCATAAAGGAAAATGCAAAGGAAAATACCTCATGGCCATCATGGCAAGACAAGCAACATGCAGTGCAAATTCCAGCATTCCCATCAGGGGTGCATGTGAGGCAGGAGAAAATTGCCTGTCTTTTCATGTAACCTTTAGGATATGTACATTCATCGCCCTCATCTCCACCCAAAACCAAATCCGCTTCCTTCAGATTAAAAAAGTAACAAGTTACACATTGCCAAACAGCATATATAGCTCAAAGAAGCACAACAACAACAACAGAATCAACCAATAGCTAGTTCAATCTTCCTATACTTAAGAATCATTGCAGCTAATACTTTTTCAATCTAAATTTAGAATAGAAGATATATTTGACCAATCTCAAACTAGCATGCTTATGATGCATTCCGCGCTAGTATAAAATTAACAACATAAAGCTTTATCTCGTGAAATTTTCTCAAAATGTAATCAGCGTTCATACAACAGTTCAAGTATTAAATATGGCTCAACCGAAAATTCTGCTCCGGAAAAGCTAAAAGATTTTGATTTTATCACTTCTACCAAAAAAGAAAAGGGGAAAAATGCTTATGTCCACGAACCAGACGAAAAAAAAAAGCCCCAACTAAATTCAATCATTCCTGCAAAAAGAAACCCTAAACCGATAAATAGGGGGAAAAGACTTTTACCAGCTCTTCTTCTTCGATGCTCTCAAGATACTCGTTGATTGACATGGTCTGCTCACCATCATCGTCGAGCTCGGCAGCCATTTTCCCCAAATCACCAGGGCCTTTAAAACCAAATCTCTACTCCTCGAACCTGAAATTATATAAAAAATTGGAAAATATTAGCAAAATATTTCTGAGATCAAACGGATATTTCATATCTCTTTTACTCTTTTGGGGAAACCTAGCGTTGAGCCCGACAAACAGAAACCCTAGCATCGAAAAAAGGTTACCATTTCAATCTCAAATTAACAGATTTTGAGGAAAGGTTGACGAATGATATATTTTACTGTTTGAAGAAAAAAGCAGAGAGATAATTATGAGAGAGACGAGCTACTAGTATTGTTTGGGGATATGAATTTGAGATGGGAGGATTTTAGGGTTTATATAAAAACAGGGATATAAATAAGGCGACATAGCAGGAGCGTGTGTGCGGACATTTTCCCGGCCACAATGTGTCCTCACCGGAATCAAATTACGTGGTCCGTTCCCTCCAATTTGTTGAATTTTATTTTTATTGTAACAAATTATCTTGGTATAAATATTCGAGGTCAACCTATTTATTAGTTCCAGTGATAAAAAATTTAATTTTTTTTAAATAAAATTTTGATTTCAAATTTTATAAATAAAAAAATAAATTTAAAAAAAATTTACTCATCTTATAAAATCAGATTCAATTTGATTTCGAATTAATCAAAATTTAAAATGATTATTAAACATCGAAACATCTTAGACCAAAAAATATATATGTTTGAGGTTATTTATTTATTTTTCTTGTGTCTTGATTTAGGGAAAAAAGAAAATGTTCTTCTGTCCCAAATTGAAATTTATCGGATCCTACTTAGCTCATAGCCAACAATATGTATTAATATTTGTCGTAACTGTTTTGTGATCGTCAGACGTAAAAGAGTTTTAAAATCGAAGTAAATGGAAGGGGAGTCGTCATCAATCTTTGTTAGGGTGTGACTGATCACCCAAAAGTTGATCTTTTTAATAAAACTATAAAAATGAGCTTAAAGTTTATCAAAAAGATAAATTTTGGTCTACGAAAAAAAAAATAAATTGGTCTGAGAGTCAGTTACGCATGGGGAAGGATTAGCACCACCACAACGCCCATAAATTGGTACCATTTAATTATGCGCTATGTTCGGTGTTGGATAAAAATGGTTTTGACTTGAAATTTAATACTAATTCCCTTCATTTGAAAAAATAAAATTTTGCTAAATCTCTTTATTTAGGAATATCGAGAAAATCTTGAAGTTAAAAAATTATTTTAAAATTCTCCAACATATAGGCAGAATTTAAAATAACTCTTTTCGCTTAAGATTTAACACTATAATTTTTAAAATGAAATAACAATTTTTATAGAAGATAATTATTAGTGACTCTTCAACTTCTAGACAGAGTACTAAGAATTATTTTCTTCGGAATGTTATTTTTATTTTATTTTATAATATCATAAAATTTTTTTTAAAAATGTATTATTCTTTTTTATTATAAAATATTTTATCATCAAACAGTAAATTAAAGAGAGAATAATACCGACAATTATTGATGATAACACGCTAACGTATGTATGCTAATGGATGTCATGTAAAATGAAATGCAATTTAAAAGTTGGGTTCTTAAGTATAATGAAACCACTCCGACTCTCCAACATCTAGATAGAGTTTAGGTGCGATTGTTTATATTTAAGATCCTAATTTATTATTATACTTTTCATTTATTAATCTTATTATTAATGTGAATTAAGAACTCGTGTGAAAAACTTAAAGAAATGGAGTTTCATAAATATCCCATCATTTAGGTAACATTCGAGAACAAACCATTTCATGTGAGATTTTCACACGTATCCTTAAAGTTTTGAAATAGATTTAAGGTTTTGATTTTAGAGTTTGAAGATTTTAGGGTTTCGATTTTAAAATTTGAGGTTTGGGGTTTTGATTTAAGGGTTTGAATTTTAAGGGGTTTGGATTTAAGAGTTTAAAGGTTTGAGATTTTGGATTTTGAGGGGTTTTAGATTTTAAGGGTTTGGATTTAAGGGATTTTTTATTTTTAGGGGTTTCGGATTTTATGAGGGTTTCAGATTTTAGGGGTTTGGATTTAAGGGATTTTTTATTTTTAGGGGTTTTGGATTTTAGGATTTTGAAAATTAAGAATTAGTATTTAAGGTTTCGGTTTTAAGAAAATACGAACATCTCTAAAAATCTCTAACATCTACGCGGATTTTCGAAGCAAATTCGATTTTTATAATTTTTGAAAACTAATTAAAAATTTATTATATATTTCTTTTATGAAAATTTATTAATAATAATTTTTCAACACCTAGGCAAAATTATTTCTTTAGGAAAATATTTTTTATTCCCTCCAACATCTAGGCAGGGAAAATAATAATAATTATTCTATTATTATTATTATTATTATTATTATTATTATTATTATTATTATCTTTAGCATTTTAATATATATTTTTTATTATTATTTTACTTACTTTCATTTTTATTATTATTAAAACAATTAAAAAAATTTATTCTAACAAATTTAAAACTTATCATGCATAGATATATAAAAAAAAAGCTTAAAATAACAAAAATAATAATATATAAAAAAATTCAAAAATTAAAAAAAAAATTTACCTGAATCGGACTGATCAATGGTTCGGTCAACGATGGTTCGATCGGATCAAAAAAGGTTCGATTCGACGCGCGGTTCGGTTGAGCCAGTTGAGGAACGGTTCGGATCGATTCGACTGGTTCACTGACGGTTCGTCTAAACCAGCTGAAGGTTGGCTGAGGCGGGTCAACAAGTCAATTTGCACGGATCTCGGGTTGGGTTCGATCCACACGCGGATCCTCTTATGCTTGAAACGACGTCGTTTTGGCCCTATGCTCAAAACGACGACGTTTTGCTTCTATGTTTTCTATAAAAGTAAGTTTTTTTTCAGCTATTTCACCATTTTCACCAAAAAAAATTTTTCAGAGCTTTTGGTTCTCTTTGTCCTCTATCAGAATTCGACGTCGTGTGCTGCATCAGCCTCCGTATGGGTCGCCATCGACAGTGGTCGTCGGTGATCAAAAAAATTGAAATCCTCCTAGAAACTTTTTTCGAAGCGATTTTTTCAGATCCGATCTCCTCTTCGTAAAAAATGATCCCAATCGATGTAGATCGGGGTTCAAAGTTTTCTGTTCTTTTTTTTAAAACTCAAACTAATAACCTTTCTTTTTTGTTGCAGGTATCTTCTTAGTGCTGGGTTCCTCGTCGATTCGGCGAGGACTGTGGTTTCTGTTTTATGATTTTTTTATGTTGATTTTCGTAGATCTATTTTTTTTTGTTTGGGTATTTGGGGGGGTTGTTTGGTTTTTTTTTTGTCTGAGAGGTTGTTGGTAGGGGCGCGTGTTTTTGGTTGTTTTAGTGAGAGGATATTCGAGTGTTTCAACCAGCTCTGAAAGGAGATAGAATCGAGTGTTTTATATGGTTGAAAATGGTGGTAGTGTGTGCTGATGGAGTGAAAGGACTGGACAAGGGGGTTGTATGATGACTGGGGTAATGGCAGGGCGTGGGTGGCCAGTGGTGCTGTGCACGGCACCTGCTGGCACCAGCCCTTTCCATTTTGTTTCTTCTGTTTGGATTTTTCGTTTGTCTTTCTTTTTTTTTTTATTTAAAATTTTAATTTTTTTAATTAATTAATTTTTTTAAAATTATAAAAAATGTAGATCCAGATAAAATTTGGTGTCTACAGCTGTCCTTCTTTACACATTATTGAAAATAAAAAATATGACAAAGATAAAGACAACGATTTTTTTCGAAGCTAACTAACTAAATAAAAGCTATTGGGATTAAATCGTAAGTCGAAAACATAAGAATGACCGGGATTAAATCATAAGTCAGAGATTAACGACAACTGAGATTGAATCATAAGTCAAAGAAATAAAAACGACTGAGGTTAAACCGTAAGTCAGAAAAATAAAAACGATTGGGATTAAACCGCAAGTTGAGAAATTATATGAATGACTGAGATTAAATTGCAAGTCAAAAAAATAAAAACGACTGGGGTTAAACCGCAAGTCAAAGAAATAAAAACGATTGGGATTAAACCACAAGTTGAGAAACTATAGGAATGACTGGAATTAAATCTCAAGTCAAAAAGTAAAAGTGACCGGGGTTAAATCACAAGTTGAGAAGTTAAAAATCGATTGAGACAACACTGCGAATCAAGGAATAACAAGATCAGGATTAAACTCAGATTAAATTACCAGTCAAAAATAAGGAGAGATGGACTAAACCGTGAATCAGAGAATAAAAAGATCAAGATTAAACCACGAATTGAAGAATAAAAAGATCGAGATTAAATCGCGAATTAAAAATTGACGTTAACTTGAATTGATCACAAGTTCGAAAATAAAGAGATCGAGATTAGACTACAAGTCAAAGGATAACAACAATCGAGATTAAACTACGATTTTGAATTAAAGAGAGCGGAGGATAAAGAGATCGGGATTAAATCGCGAGTCAGAAAATGACGTTAACTTGGATTGAATCACAAGTTCAAAAATAAGAAAACCTAGATTGAACCACGAGTCAGATGATAACAACATTCGAGATTACATATGATTTTAAATTAAAGAGATCAGGATTGAACCGTGAATCAGAGGATAAAAAGATCGAGATTAAATCGCGAGTTAAAAAATGATGTTAACTTGAATTGAATCACAAGTCCGAAAATAAGAAGATCAGGATTGAACCACGAGTCAGAGGATAACAACAATCGAGATTAAACTATGATTTTAAATTAAAGAGATCGGGATTGAACCACAAATCGAAGGATAAATAGACTGAAATTAAACTGCGAGTCAAACAATGACGTTAACTTGGATTGAATCACAAGTCTAAAAATAAAAAGACTGGGATTGAACCACAAGTTAGAGGATAACAATAATCGAGATTAAACTACGATTTTAAATTAAAGAGATCAGGATTGAATCGCGAATCGAAAGATAAAGAGATCGGGATTAAATCGTGAGTCAAAAAATAAAATGACAGGGATTAAATCACGAGCCAAATATTGATGATTACTAGGATTGAACCGCAAGTCAGAGAAATAAAAGAGATTGAGATTAAACCGCAAGT